CTATGTATCAATCTTGTTGGCAAATATCATAAACTGACTATATATATCGGTCTTTTACTTAACTTCTAAATCCAAAATACAATTTAACTACTAAATTTAAATTTATCTGTTAACTCAATTTCAGGCTATTTGAAATTTTAATACGTAACATTGTTCTCGAGTTTTTCTCGGAGGAACATTCTGTTTTGTTGCCAAAGAAAGGTCAGTCCAAAATATTTTCTTGGACGAACGTACTGTTTGATGTCCAACACGGGCAGTTCTCCAGCTTTTGTTGATCTAACGTCCTGCAAGAATCGGTTGTTTTTGAACGTTAGATTGTCATGCCCTTATTTTAAATTTATCATATTTCAGAAAGATAAAAAAAAAAGATGTAGGTTGCGTTCTGCTTCTTGTACATTTTTTTATTCGAACAAGTGTAGCAAAGAAAAGAGCACACCATTCCAGGTTGAGTAAAGTGTGTCATTTATTGAGTAGTGGAAGACAGGGATGGAAAGCTGAATAATACTACTCGCTGGTGCGAAACAACTTTGTTCACCTCAAATACACTTTTTAATACATTGGAATAAATATGTTGATGTAATGGTGTTAAAAATGAATGTCATTTACTCGCGTTTTATCTGCTGGTTTCGTCCGCTAGAGTGTGTTCCACTTAGGTGCTGTTGGAGATCTAGTTCGCAAAACTTTTTCAACAGTAGATTGTAAGAGCTGTGTATAACTTTTCTATGCACACAAAAACGGGTTAAATTTTAAATGGTTAAAAAAAATCTTAGAGATGTAAAAAATGTTTTGAACATGTGATTACTGTAAGATTTTATTATTATTTTAGGAATAATAATAAAATTATAGAAGCATTACCAGATAAACCAGGTTCAGTGTGAGGACACTGTTCTTCATCAAATGCTACAGTTTTCCTGTAACACTTTACTGTCGTGTAACAAGAACGTCCATTTGGCATGGGTCATTCATTCTTCATACTTCTCACAGCACAAAGTGTTTCCAACACGCGCAGAAACGTGTTTGCTATTTGCTATATACAGTGGTGCTGCACGTGACCTGGCGACTTCTCGCTGACGTTGACAGCCCTTCTACCGTCCAGCTTATCCATGCTTCTGAAAATACGGATGTTTTCAAAGAGCCTTTTGTTCGCGGCATGACTGTATTTTGCAGTCATTATTGAGCTATACCTGCTATATGACGTCATAGAAATGGTTGATTTGTATTGTGTACGTATTGATAGGCTATAATGTGTGTGTGTGTACACAATGCTGTATTAACACCTGTATCATGCACTTATGAACACTGTATTATGTATTTATTTGGGTAAGATCCCTACAAGTAAGATTCACGTTCATTGAATGCCATGCAGTGCACAATCTAAATTATTCTAGAATATCCTTTCTGGAGTCATATTTTGTTGCAATCTATACTCGG